AGAGGAGCTGCAAAACGAAATATCACGTGACCCCCTTTTCCAATTTAAAAAACATTCCAACTTAGCGCCCAGTTGCAATTTTGGTGTTATCAACTGCCACTTCCACATAAAAAATACAGTATTCATGCACCAATTTCATTACACCAAATCTCAGCTTGATTACCTGACCCATTCGAAAAATAAGTGAGGTCCCCCTTTCTCAATAGCACTGTATATCCTCATATTCCAGTATATCATATAAATCCAAGTATCAATTCTCAAAGTTATTTAACAAGCGCAAGAAGATGCTCATAAAGTGATTTGCATTTCAATTTTGTAAGAATATTTTGTTAAATTGCTTTCAATATTCTATATAGTGATAGTGTTCCAAAGGTTAAGTTGAAATAGCTTGTCGTTAAGTTTCGCCCTTAATAAAAATCGTTACATTATTATTTTAATGTACGTTTTGTAGTTTGAGTTACTTTGGAAAAAATATCAATACTGTCCACCAAACGTAATATGAAACACTGAAATAAATGATTAATGTACTGATGGTATTTCTAATAGTGTTCGTTACATACAAACTGAAATACGTTTATAAAGCAAAGCAGTTGTTATGTTCGGGCTAAATTCGAATATAAACGTATAAATTTCATTCAAACGTGCGCATAAAATGTGTTTAACATGACTTTTAAATTAATTAGCGGGAAAATTAACGAGATATCTGACAAAGATAATGCATACAGATGAAATATATAGATCAGGAAAATCCTGTTTTTACAGGGTTACTGGTAATTTGCCGTATTCTTTCCAGGGCGTGTTGGGGGTCCCAAAATGAAACAACGTTTACCCTATACAGGGTTGAAGTTGAGTCATTAATTTTCAGATAATGATTGTAGAAGGAAGATAAACCAAAATATGTGTGTAAAAATAAAAAAAAAATAAAAAAAAAATGTTACCTTGTTTTATAAAGTATCCTCCCGACAAGTATTTCAGTGCGGATCTGTATTTGAACATGCCGTCTTGGAGCACCGGCATGCCCTCCCCTGTGAGGTCTTAAGTCACCTGATTCACGAGCCCTTTGTTCTACATTAACAAAGGCACGAGGGGTTGGTTGCACTCGCTTGGGAAACCGATCCGCATAAATCCGTGATGCCGCGTAAATAAGAATCATGTCCACAAGTTCAGCATTTTCGTAAACATGTGCCATTTTTTATTTCGTTTGAGCTACGCAACAGACACCACTATTCACTCACGCGTTACCGACTGACACTGACTGTATACAACTGAATAAAATAATTGTAAAAACATCGTTCCAAATTCTTTCGCTTTTTTGTTTCCGATGCGATGAACCGATAAGGCGGATTGTATCCGTTGTTGCCAAACACGAGCACATAATATTATTATTGAGACAGGGCGGTACTCAAACTTCCAAAGGGCTATAACTTTGTTACTTTAATTTTACCAGAAAAATGGTAAAGGAAAAAACATTTCTTTTGATCAGATCTACTCACTGTTAAAATAAGTGACTCAACTTCGAAGTCACCCTGTATATGTATGATCAAAAATCCATAGCCCCCGAAATGTTTCGGTTTCTACAAAATTAGGAATTTGAGCCTAAATGATAAAAAAACTATGTAAGAAATGCTTCGATCTATTTTCGCATTTTGAATTCAAATTACGCTAGTACATCCATTAAAACTGCAAAAATACTACACATAATAAAATATCACATATTCTACGAAATAATCAAGTTTTTGTTTTTAGTTTTCCTTGTGTCTAGCTCTGAAATGCTACTACGTTGAGCACACCAATTGCTAGAAAAACTTTTGCCGGTATAGAGAGCTTTCCAATAAGGTATTCAAATGTCAGTATCAGAGCGTATAATTTCAAACAATTTAAACCAAGTCGTAAGTATTTCAAATGTGTGTATTAATTTTTCGAAAATCTTGTGATAGGTAGGTGTGGTAGAGCCAAGAGAGGACAATTTGTGAAATGTCTTTATAATTCGCTGGTCGGCTCTATTAACCTTGGGAGTCCTATAGTCGGGAAGTCGTTCAAACTTTTTTACAGCATCGCGTGCTGATATGATGCGATAAAAGCTAGTCACATATTACATATTTTGATGCTTAAAAACAAACTTGCAGGCTAGTTTCTAACATATCATATCAGTACGCGATGTAACCAAAGTTTGCGTTTGGCTGTTGGACTATTACTAGTTCTTAAATAAAAACAGCGATCTATGAGCGTTCTTGGTATGACAATTTGCTCATAAATGGCTCTGCATATATTGAGTCGGTGTTTCCAAACTGCTGAAAGATGTTTAGAAAACGCTACATTTATAATCAGCTGAATAGAGTTCAGTCCTCTTCACCGTTAGACTAAAAAGTCGTGCAAAGTAGATGTATGTCATATTGACTGACGATAAGTCAAATAAGCAATTCGAGATTTGCTAGTGTAATATTCCGCTTAGGGCCCCAAAAGTTAAATAGCTATTTGGTAGCTTACAGGCTTTAAGAATAGCTCCTCTTGCAAATGAGTCTTTTATAACTTCATAGAGTAAATAATATATTTCGTAGGCTGCAAACCATGAATAAATATACAAGAACACGTTTTTTTTTCAAAAAATGCACTCACTCTAAGTGATTGAATTTATCCAAAACGGATAATCTTGCAATACCCCATTTATCTTCAACTAAATCGGAACAGTATCTGTTTAGACGCAATCCGCTGTTTTGTGGTTACATCTCTTACCTCTCAGTCGCAGAAAATTTTGTGATGTTCAATGATTGGGATACGGTGATAATGGGTCTCTTGAATAAAAAAAAAATTGCATTGGGAGTAACACGACTACAGGAACTTGTTAGGTACTTGTTTCAATATTATCATAAATAAAGCACATTTTGTTTATGCTACTGGACAAAAATTCGCCGCGTCAATCAAGGGACAAAATAATGGATAAATAACACGGTATGAGGAAAAATTAAATTAAGTTAAAACTAGAATTATTGTTATCTACTTCCACTACATAGTAGTGCATGCCATGTAAGTCCTTGAGGTGGTTTATTTCATTTTCTTCGATTGCAAAGTCATCGTAGATATTTGCACATGTTATGTAGAACCGCACAGAAAACAATAATTTTCGGAACTTTCGCCAAAGATACTTTCACTTTATCATTTAAAATGGTAAATCTCTTTTTCGGCTGCCCAAGTACCCTCTCAATTGCGACTATTCTGCGAGAAGGCGAGAACTTTGTTTCCAAATCCTGGTATCGTAAACGCTTCCAGGCTACACTTGTAATCACTTCATTTGCATTACGTTACTTGTACATTTAGGGCCGATTTCACAATCTAACAAACCATTATTTTGCAGCAATAGAGTACGCGTACCAAACATTTAGTCAAATACACTCAATCAGCCTCAAGATCTCTCCGTCAAATTTTTGGCAGCAAATAGCATCAAAGTATTCAAAACAAAACACTGTAAAATATGAAGTGACAGGTTGCCGTTAAAATGTTTTCAGATTGTTAAATATTATGAAATTATATAAAACAGCCAAAATTTAAAATTAATGCTTGGTGTCTGAGTAAAAGTCATGTTTTTCAGTTTAGCTGAAGGTTTCTCCATGTTTATTGCAATCCATATACGATTATATAAACTCAAAATCACATACTGTGTGTTAATAGTTTATCCTACATTTGCAAACTTGTACTTCCAAACCCTTACATGAAAAAGCCTTTACACTCAACTTTTTGTTAGGTGTTGCGTTTCAACACATTCAGAGACTCCTTTCCAATTCCTCAACGACATTTTGACACCACTGATCTGAAACTGTTCAAGATTTCATCATTCATACATTAATTGCAGTTGCAGTTTTTTGTTTTGATTTCACTGTATAATCAGTCGCACCATCGGTGATACACTCAACACAACCACGTATGAGGGTTAGTGCAGATTTAACGTGTACACAACAGTGTAATATGTAATTCTGCACAAGAAAGATCTTGGAGGGAGCACTTTTTATATACGGAAAATCCATTTTTCACAAATAACACAAGTGAGCACAAAACATAGACTGCAGTTACGTTGGAGAAGGCGAATAGACCAAAGAAGGATTGACAATACATTTGCAATCACTGGAATGCATTGGAACGGTTAAAAAATATAAATTGAATCGTTTCTACGTTATCTCGACTGACAGACTGGAATAACTGCTCCGTTTCTGTACACATCGCCCTGTATAAGGCACTGATAGCAGCTGTCCCGTTTTTTTGACGAAAAGCGAGACAACCGAGGTATTTACTATGGAAACTGAACCAGGGGGGTCAGGAAATGGCGCTTCCACCATGGCAATGGAGATGGAGTCGAAGGAGCAGACCATAGAGGAGCTGAGAGCCGAATTGGAGATGGTTCGACAGGAGCTGTCAAAAAAGGACGATGATAAGAAGACCAATGAAAGATTGATGATGATCATCGAAGCCCAGCAGCGGACAATTACCGACCTAACAGTTAAATTAGACCTCCTACTGAAAACCCAGGTACCTTCCCATCTAAATATTACAAATTCTTCCCAAACACTTCCCAAAAATCCCAGTAAAGACAAAGCTGTCAATCTTAAGGGACCGTTAAATAATTCAAGCGATCTTTCGACAGACGACGATACACTCCCTGACGGTTTTACCAAGGTTAAGCCCCGTAAAACGCGACGAAACAAGACCGACACGACAGGCTTTCCTCCTCTCCCTCCACCAAAATCGCAGTCTGAAACGTCTCATTCAACTGCAAGCGACTCGAATAAATAGCCTGTGCCTAATCTATCGGTTACTTCCACGCCTTCGACATCTCAGGCACCAGAAGACACGACTGCACAGCCCCCACGCAAGGTACGTGTTACCCCCATCGTTCTTCGCGATGCTTCGAGATGGCGAGGCGTAAATCACAAGTTTATTGCCGTCGATGCAGGAATCCGGATAATTCCCAAGTCCGAGGATGATTACCGCAGGATTAATCGTCTCTTCAGGGAGGAAGAGGTGCCCCATCACACTTTCTCTCTACCCTCGGAGAGGAACATTCATGCTGTAATCAGAGTTCATGCGACACTTTCGGAAATTGAGATCAAGGAAGAGTTGCAACAGAGGGGATATTCCCCCCTGCACATAATTCGCCTGAAACGCGGTGGCGGCGTGTCCATACCTTTGGTGGCAGTCATACTGCCCAAGATAGAAAAATCTCAGCAGCTGTTCAACGAACATGAGCTGCTAGGTTTGGCTATCCGAGTTGAAGTTCAAAAGAACTCAAGACTCATCGGGCAGTGTCACCGCTGCCAAAAATATGGGCAATATGCAATCTTACTGCACTGCACCACCTAAATGTCTAAAATGTGCTTCTGACCACATGACCCACTTATGCCCTCAAACAGAACAAGAGGAACGAAAGTGCGCGAACTGTGGAGGGGGGCATCCAGCGAATAGCCGAAAATGCAGATTTGCCCCTAAGAAAAATCTGCAAGTGATAGCGCAAAGGCGCAATGTAAGTTACGCGGATGCAGCTAGGGATGCAACCCGGGCTGCCCACTCTGTGGGATCTTCTGCGAACACGCAAAATGTGGACCTGGCAACCGCGCTAAGGTCCTTACAGCAGATCATAGGTCCTCTGATTAGCGCAACACAGGCTTTGCAGGCGATCTTTCCTGCAAATGGCTAGGTACAATCGACGACAGACTGCATTTATCAAAATTCTTTTTTGGAATTGTTTGGGTCTAAGGGACATTCCCAAAAGACGGGAATTTCATCAAGCTCTTGTGGACGAAAGTATAGATGTGGCCTTGCTGTAGGAAACATTACTTAATCCGGGAGATCGTCTAGCTTTCCCGAATTACGATGTTATCCGGGCTGATAGATTGACTGGACGGGGTGGCGGCTTGGCAGTGCTAGTGAAACGCGGTATTGACTACCACAGAAGCACAAACGCTGACATGCAGAACATCGAAGCGGCTTCCTTGGTGGTCAATATGACGGGAGGTGTGCCGTTAAAAATCACATCGGTGTATGTCAGGTGTGGTAACAGGCGGATCTGGAAGTCCTTTTAGACTACTCGGGTCCACTTATTGTGGCAGGGGACTTCAACTGCAAACATCGAGCATGGCATTCCAGGTTGAGTTCCACCAGTGGGATCCGACTGTACAACCATGTGATACGAAATGGCTACCTCATACATAGTACTGAGGAGCCGACGCACCACCCATTTAATCACCTTCAGGCACCTGATGTTCTTGATTTGGCATTATCCAAAAACTGTAGCTACAGTATCACTTCTCGAATCATGTATGACATCTCAAGCGATCATCTTCCCGTCGTTTTGGAAGTGGCTAATGAGCAGATCTTGGGGGATGAAATCCCTCCAAGGAAACGCATTGATTGGGAGCTATACAAGTCGCTCCTCAAAGAGTTCCCCAATATACCGATCATAGATGATGAGAACGGTATAGATGCGGCTCAAGCAGAGTGGACAAGTTTTGTTCAGCAAACTCTGCAGCGTGCAGCTGTACTTCCCGTGCAGCGACACGGCAGACCTTTTCTGCCAGCAGACATTCGTCAGAAAATTTCTGATAAAAGAGCTGCAATTAAGCAAGCGAAAAGGTCTTATCATCCTGATGACATTCTCAGAGCGACGAATCTTGTTCATGAAGTAAGAAATGCTCTTAATGAATTCCGCAATGAGCAATGGAACGACTTTCTGGCGGGGATGCTTGACTCAAGCATTCCTCTCTGGAAGGTGGCGAAGTCGCTCAAAAACGGAAAGCGTGAACAAATCCCACACATTCACGGTCCTGGAGGCATTGTCTTCAGGACAGAGGAGAAGGTTGAGGTTTTCGCCGATGCCATGGAAAGACAGTTCTCTCCCAACTATGATCTTGATAATGACCTCGACGAGGAGCAACACATCGTAAGATCTGTCAGGAGATATTTTAGGGCCAATGGCGTCAGTGACAGTCGCGCATTCGTTGGTGATTTTTCTTCATCAGAAGATTCTTCTTCAGAAGCTTCTTCAACCGAAGATTTGCTTAGCACATCAGCGGTATCTCCTGAGATCCCGCATTGCACACCAGCAGAGATTCAAGGTCATATTAAAGACCTTAAAGTGCGTAAAGCACCTGGGGAGGATCAAATCACTAATAAGGCGCTGAAGCTGCTTTCGCTAAAGTCCTTAACTTATCTCGTGGCAATAGTCAATGCCATGCTAAGGATCCAGTACTTCCCATCTGCGTGGAAGACCGCTGAAGTTATAATGATTCCAAAGAAGGTGGGTTCGATATTTCCCCAGGATTATCATCCCACTAGCCTGCTGTCAGCTCCGTCTAAGCTCGCTGAAAAGGTGACTCTAAGTCACCTTGAGAATTTCTCGTCAGATCACCATGTGATTCCTGACGTGCAATTCGCTTTTCGGTCTGAACATAGTACTGAGCTACAGGCGGTTAGGCTGGTGGAATGAGTAACCAGAGTATTCACCCTTAACGAAAGTACTGGCATCTTGCTTTTGGATGTCTCAAAAGCATTTGACAAGGTGTAGCACGCGGGCCTCTTGTATAAACTAATCCAAAAGGGCTTCCCTTTTTGGCTTCTAAAACTACTGAAATCCTTCCTTGAAGGTAGGAAATTTCGAATCAAAATTGACAATGTGCTGTCGACAACACGGCTGATTACAGCCGGCGTCCCTCAGGGTTCGGTCCTTGGACCTATCCTTTACTCACTGTACATCCATGACGTCCCTAGCCCCAGCAACTGTGAAGTCTATCTCTATGCTGACGATACTGCGTTGGTGGCTCAGTCGTGGTCTGGTGATCTAGTCCATGACAGGCTGCAAAGTGCGGTGGAAGAAGTATTAGATTGGGCGGATCGGTGGCTAATTAAAATAAACCATTCGAAAACGCAGGCAATCTACTGTACAAAAAGACGTCGCGGCGTTCCGTCTGAAGTTTCAATGAATGGACTTCGTATACCATGGGAATCCTCCGCTAAGTATCTCGGTATCATTCTGGACAAAGGGATGACTTGGCGGAACCATATGAAATACGTTTCGGCTGCTTTACCCATTATTATGTAAACGGTCAAAATTAAGTTTGATTAACAAGATTCGACTCTATAAGGTGGTCATAAGACCAGCAATGACTTACGCATGTGCGGCTTGGTGTTTTATTGCTAAAACACACATGCGAAGTCTGCAGGTTCTGCAAAGCAGGACGTTGCGCACTATTGCTGATGCCCCATGGTATGTCTCTAACGAAACTCTACATAGAGACCTCGAAGTCCCTTACCTAAAGGACTACATTAAACAACAGGCGCAGCGGCGCTATAGCCTAGCGGAATCGCACAGCAACCCTCTGTTGCGTGAGTCAGTGGACTACACAGTCGAGCAAGTTCGCAAGCACAAAAGGCCGCGGCTCGCACTGTAATCAAAATTAACTCGTGAACTTAGAACAACCAAAATTGGAGCATTTTTACACAATCTTTAGAAAAAATCAAATATTTTTAGACCATATCAAAATCTGTGAAGCGATTTTAACAATGCCTAAACGCTGCCTATCCTAAAAGATTCTCTTCTTCCCCTTTGCTCTCGTTCTTCCTTCTCTCCTTTCCTTCCCCTTTTTTCCTTAAAATTGTCTGGTTTCTGGGTTACCAGACCTGACAGACTTACAAACTGACACTGTGAAGAGCTAAGGTCCCACGGGCCGCTCTGACAACCAACGATGACTTGATGTTTCTGTACACATATTTTTTTTGGTATTGTTGCATAAAGTAGTTTGTTTACGAACCAGTTCCTAGAACTGAACGCAACTTAATGAAACGAACTAGAAAGCACATCACTTTATCAAGTAATCCAAGGAGGGATAAATTGTCATTTCATCACACTACTGACGAGAGTATCGAAAGCCTGAGATTCGCTTTGCTTCTGTGGGTCAGAGATATAGTGTTTTCTTATGATAAAACTAGTTTTTGTGTTTGAAATACTCTACCTTAGTTAATACCGTTGATCCAAAATTTGCATATTTTACGTTTCTTTGTCCTTTTCCGTGTTACTATGATGAATCATCGAAAAAATAATAATAGCACACCACGAGCAAACAGCACGGCTGCATTCAAAGATGGAAATCAAAGCAGAAGACAGCAGACAACACCAGCCCGAGTTGCTCCAAGTTCTACAATGAGTTAAAAACTAGTTCAAAATGCGCACCAAAACAACATGAATATATAAATTGGTTCTGTTATAAGAATTTGGAATATGCACCAGTACAACACTGGTTTCACTGAAAGAAAACGCGATTGAATAGCTTGGTAATATTTAACAGTTTAGACCATACAAGGCTGATTTCAGTAGCTTCTATTTTGGCCACTTTCTCAGTTATAATCTCATCTCACTCCAAGTTGCCTGACATGTTAGAGATTTTCCACTTTCCCCGCGCCCCTGGAGCCTGTGGTTCTCAATACTTGCTTTGGAACGATTTTTGACTCGCTTGACTGTTCATATATTTTCAGGGGATTTTCAAATCTTTCAAAGATTATTCAGACCTTTGGATGTTCTAGAAATTCATCGATATCAATAAAACACTTTCATAAAACACTTAAACCTGACTTCGACACATGCTTCATGCGTGTCAGATGGAATTCTTATTTGACTGCTCCTTTTGGTACATGAGAAAAATTACGTTTCGAGTCATTCAGTTATTTTCGTGCACCGATCAGTATGAATAAAATGTCCCATCACTATCTTAGTGGGGTACTGAGTGATGTGTCATCTGGACAAACCAACACTGTTGTCAGACTTAGCGATTTTTGTATGCGTTAGCAACTTTTTTTCTCCGCTTGTCCGCTGGCGGTTTACAGCAACATTTTTGGCTACCTTGGTAATTCCATTAAGGATAGCTTTTTTTACAGTTTCTTTTCAAGTGCCGAACGCAACAAGTGATTATGCTGCGCTATCTCCCCAGCCAACATACAATGGGGAAGTAGGAAGCTTCCTCTGTAGTCATTTTTTTTTATCGAAGCAGTCGGGTCTGTATGGCAGGCACATCGCGCGGCGGCATCATGGAAGAGAACTGTGAGGAGCAAAGCCCTTTGTTGTAGCGGTAGAAGAGAACTTGATCGCCAACGGCCCGCCGGTGAGAAAGGATCCCGAGACTGTTTGTTAGAGAAGAGTCATCGATCAGTCGGACAGCCCTCCGCTGGACAGCATCGAGCATAAATAATATACTCGGGGCGGCGTCA